TCCAAGGATTTGAAAAGATGTGCACTTGAGAGTGCTAAAAACTTGCTATTAGCCTTGACTTCAAAAGAGTTTCATTCAAGGGTATAAAAAGCACCCTTGTTTTGAAGGCACCCTAATGAGGCAAAGACAAGTGTATTATTGAGAACTCTTGTCTGGAACCATCTACTGAATGCAGAGGCAGGCTGAATTGCCTTTTCTTTGGAACACACCTGTGCAGTATGAAATGGCACCCTAGTTGTGGTACTTTTTGACTTACTCTAATATAAATTAGGAGTTCTTTATTGCCTGGTATTGTAAACCCAGTTCAAATTGCTATACAGAGGAACTTGATGGCTTATGTGTAGGAAAAGTCCAGGGGGTCATGCTGATGAGGTTCGCCCATCACACAAACCATAAGACTGACTCTGATTTTCCCTTCTCAAGATGGTACCTGAACCTTCACTCTCAAGTATTCTCCAGGTGTATGAACAGAGAACAGAACACTTTTGTCTCAAATGTTCCTGCCAAAGTCTTAGGATCGCATCTCATTGGCTCTGACTGGAGAGTATGATTTACCCCTGAGCCAATGCCTGTGGCCAAAGGCATGGCAAAGCTTTGATTGGCCAGCCGGAGTCACAGGGCAGCCTGGAGCTGGGCTGTGGGCGTGTTACTATCTAAGTTGCCAGGACTTGGTGAGAAGACACCATGGGGAGGGAGGTTCTAGGGAAAACAGATGTTGTTATTAAATGAAGGTCCAGCGGGAGCAGTAGCCAAAACTCATAAATGTTCCCTCTGGGAATCCTGAATGCCTGGGCACAGAAGGAGGAATGGAAACGGAACCAGAGGGCCGAAGTGAGAACATTGACGTCACACTGTGGGAACTACCATCAGTGTTGTGAAACAAACTGCATGAATGTTGGATGGGAAATTGATCTGCTCTTTAAACCTTCACCCAGTTCACAGTAAATAGCGAAAAGAGAAGTTTAAAATACCACAATAATTACAATAAGATAGTGGAATTGTTCCACAGACGTTTTGAAGCCCTCTTGTAAATGCTGACTGTTCTATTGTTCCTGCTGTATATCATCTCCCTAGTTTTACTACTGCCTTTAATCTTGAATTTAACCAAGTCAGACCAAATGGAAAAAAGAAGAAGAAAGTTGAATGGAAGATACACCCAATCTTTGGACAAGACCTGGGAGACAGATGAGCCTTTCTGCTCCCGGGAAGATTTATAGCCTCAGGAGCCCTAGACAGCAGGGGTGGAGAATGGCTGGCCTGTGGACCTTACATTGTTGTTGTTGTTAAGTACCGTTGAGTTGGTTCTGACCCATAGTGACCCTGCCTAGGGTCTCTGACGAGTGGCTGGTGAGTCTGAACCGCCAGCCTTGTGGTTCATACTGACCTTGCCGTCCAGCGCATAATCCTGCAGCAACAGACCAGAACTCCACGGGCCTCAGGTGAAATCATTTGGTCTGGCCCTGCCATGGCAATTGCAGTTCCAGCCATCACATTTATTGTGGTTGTTGATAAGTGATTGTTGTTGTTGGTAATATGCTGTGTGGGTTGGCTTTGACTCACTACTACCCAGTGTATGGTTTCCAAGGCTATGAATCTTTACAAGAGCAGAAAGTCTCATCTTTCTCCCACAGAATGGCTGGTAGGTTCGAACTGCTCACCTTGAAGTTAGCTGCCTGACTCGTAACCATTACACTACCAGAGCTCCTTTGTTGTTAAGTATGGGTGAGCTAATTAAATGTTTGACCAAATACAGTAGGGTAATTTTCAAGTTGATCATTTTGTATGGTCTTTGAATGACATTATAAATTTTGGCAGAAAAAAAGATTCCCCACCCCTGAAGAACAGATTTGATACATTAAACACTAAAGACCGAAGACCAGAAGAGTTGTGGGATGACATCAAGAACATGATACATGAAGAAAGCAAAAAGTCATTAAGAAGACAAGAAAGAAGGAAGAGGTCAAAATGGATGTCAGAAGAGACACTGAAACTTGCTCTCCAGCGTAGAGATGCTAAAGCAGATGGAAGAAATGAGGAGGTCCAAGAGCTGAACAGAAAATTTCAAAGATCAGCTCGAGAACATAAAGCCAAATATTATAACAAAATATGCAAAGATCTGGAATCAGAAAACCAAAAAGGAAGAACACGCTCAGCATTTCTCAAGCTGGGGGAACTGAAGAAAAAATTCAAAGCCTCGACTTTTGTTATTGAAAGATTCTCTGGGCAAATTATTGAATGATGCAGAATGCATCAAGAGAAGATGAAAGGAATACACAGAGTCACTATATCAAAAGGAAATGGTTAATGTTCAACCATTTCAAAAGGTAGCATATGATCAAGAGCCAATGATACTGAAGGAGGAAGTCCAAGGTGCATTGAAAGAACTAGAAAAGAACAAGTC